TCCCTTATCCATCTATCTCCCCCACCCTTCAGCCATCTATCTCCCCCACTCCCTCAGCCATCTATCTCCATACACCCCTTACCCATCTCTCTCTCCCCACCCCTCAGCCATCTATCTCCATCCACCCCTCATCCATCGAGCCCCACACTCCTCTGTCTAGCTAGCTATAGATGCATCATCCATTCATCCCCCACGTTGCCCGTATCCATCCACCCTCCCTACACACCTCTCCATCCATCCCCACACACCTCATCCAAAAATCCATCCACACTCCCCACACACCTCTCTAGCTCTCCATCCATCCTTCCCCCACATCTTCCGTATCCATCCATCCCCACACACACCTCATCTGCCTATCCATCCCCTTACACCCCTCCCTCTAGCCATCCATCCCCACACACACCTCATCCAAAGAGCCATCCACCCTCCCCACATACCTCTCTAGCTCTCCATCCATCCTTCCCTCACATCTTCCGTATCCATCCATCCCCACACACACCTCATCTGTCCATCCATCCCCCCACACCCTTCCCTCTAGCCATCCATCCCCACACACACCTCATCCAAAGAGCCATCCACCCTCCCCACATACCTCTCTAGCTCTCCATCCATCCTTCCCCCACATCTTCCGTATCCATCCATCCCCACACACACCTCATCTGCCTATCCATCCCCTTACACCCCTCCCTCTAGCCATCCATCCCCACACACACCTCATCCAAAGAGCCATCCACCCTCCCCACATACCTCTCTAGCTCTCCATCCATCCTTCCCCCACATCTTCCCTCTATCCATCCATCCCCACACACACCTCATCTGTCCATCCATCCCCCACACCCTTCCCTCTATCCATCCATCCCCACACACACCTCATCTGTCCATCCATCCCCCACACCCTTCCCTCTAGCTATCCATCCCTCACACACCTCATCTGTCCATCCATCCTCCACACCCCTCCCTCTAGCCATCCATCCCCCCACACACCATCCATAGATCTATCCACCCTCCCCACACACCTCTCTAGCTCTCCATCCATCCTTACCCCAGCCCTGATCCATCCATCCTCCCACACCTGATCTGTCCATCCACCCCCACCCCTCCCTCTAGCCACCCATCCACACACACCTCATCTGTCCATCCATCCTCCAAATCCCTCCCTCTAGCCATCCATCCATCCACACACACCTCATCTGTCCATCTCTCTTGGGCATTTTTACCTGCGTGGTCTCCTCGTCATCCCCAGTGGGGACAGCTCCGATACCGCCCCCACCCCGGGGGAGCGACGGACCTGGCAGCGGTACTGGGGGGCAGGACCCAGCCCCCACATCCCTGGCTCTATCCCAGGATCCCCTGCCCCAGGTCCCTGCCCCGGCCCAGCCAGGATCCCCGTACCTGTTCGAGATCAGACTTCTCTTCATCTCTCCGCTGGCACTGATCCCTTCCCTTCTTTTTCACTCTATCGCCTCCCCCCCTTTCCCTTCCCTCACTTTTCTCTCGCGCCTTCCAGAGACTTTCTCGCTCCCTTCTTCTAGTGGTCGTCGGAGGGTCTGGCTGGGTCTCGCTCTCTATCGCTGTGTGTGTCACACTCACTCGTTCCTCCCCCCCCAACACACACACGTGGGAGTTGCAGCCACTTGGCCCCTGGCCCAGCCCTGGGATGAGCTCTCTAAGCTGGGGGGGGGAAGGGTGGCGGGGGGGGGTGCGGGGGGGAACGCTGCCAGGTCCCACCCCCAGCTTGAGTAGAATTGGCCGCGCCGGCCACCAGTCTGCAGCTGGAATCTGGTTCTAGGGCCACTGGAGCAAGTGAATGTGTCAGAGGGAAGAAAGAAAGAAAGAAAGAAAGAAAGAAAGAAAGAAAGAAAGAAATTCTTCCTTCCTTTCCTACCTTTATCACTTCTTTCTCTCCATCCAGCTCTTTTTTGTTCTTTGTCTCTCCCCAGTTTCTTTCTTTCTTTCTTTCTTTCTTTCTTTCTTTCTTTCTTTCTTTCTTTTCTCCTCCCCCATTCTCTCGCTCGCTCTGTGCCGTTGCTGCTCTGACTGCCCGGCTGAGAGCAAAAGGCGAATCAATGGATGGAAAATGCTCCCAGGGGATGGGCTGCGTCCTGCGTCTGCTAATCATCCCAGGCCCCGCTCACCCCTCGGATCGATGCACTGCATCCCATGGCCTCGCTGTTACCAGAGCCCCACGCCTCTCCCGGCGCCAAGAGGCCTCTGGGGTGGGGTGCGGGGGCTGGGTATACGGGACCTCTCACCCGGCACTGGGATGCAGCCCCTCTGGGGTAGGGTGCGGGGGCTGGGTATATGGGCACCCCTCACCAGATGGTGGGGCGCAGGGTGGGTGCAGGGGCTGGGTATACAGGGACCCCTTGCCTGATGCTGGGACGCAGCCCCTCTGGGGTGGGGTGCGGGGGCTGGGTATCTGGGACCCCCTTGCCCGGCACTGGGATCTAGACCCAGGCGGTACAAGGCCCTAGATCTCTGCCTTGGGTTGTGCCTGGAGCCCTCTGCCATCTGCAGGCTGCTGTCTCCCTCCTGTGGGCAGATGGGGGATTGGCAGCCACCCGGGGGGGCAGCTTCCCCTTTCCCCTCCCTGTGCCCCATTTCCTAAGGGGAGGGGGGCGGGAGTTAATTTCCCCCCTTGAAGAGTGGGGGCTCATGGGAGTTGTAGTTTTAGTCTGAAAGGGGTGGGGGGCTGAATTGGAGCCCAGCTCATGTGACCCCTCCCACCTGTACACCCCCCCCCACACCCATAGAGCCCCCCCCCCATGCCCATACATCTTCCCAGGGAGAGCTGGACAGGCTGCTAGGAGATGGCTGGGGGGACCCTACAATAACAAACCAGCGTGTGTATCCCCCTGCCTCCAAGAGACCCTACAATAACAAAACAGTCTGTGCAAATCCTTGCTCCCAAGAGAACCTGCAATAACAAAGCAGCCTGTGGGAGACCCTACAATAACAAACCATTGTTTATGCAACCCAAAAGCTTGAAACATCCCCCCCCACGGAATAAGAAACCATTCTGTATGCAAACCTAGGCTCCTGAAAGACTCTACAATAACACACCAGTCTGGGAGCAACTCCTGTGCTTCTGAGCAACCCTACAATAACACACCAATCTGGGAGCAAGTCCAGTGTCTCTGAGCAACCCTACAATAACAAACCAGTCTGGGAGCAAGTCCAGTGTCTCTGAGAGACCCTACAATAACACACCAGAGTGCGCAACCAAGAGCCCATGGGAACTCCTGCCAAAATAATGTTTCAATGCAACCCAGCGACTCGGTTTGGTTTCAAGCAGTCAACCATTTTATTATGAGCACAACAGATGAGCATTGCAATGGCACCGTATTCTGCAGCCGTACAGTCACGTGCAGACGAGGATAATGCTTGCGAAGCGCTGGCCGAGAAAGGGTGAACTACATCGCTGGGCGGCCATGGGGGGGTGTCAGAGGTGCCCCAGTTAATCGTTATTTACCCTCCCCCCAACAGGAGGACAGGGGCGGCATTCCAGGAACTCAGAAGGCGGCAGGTTTCAAGCTGAGCAGCTGTGTCGTGGCATGTGGCTGACCTGCGGAACTCACCGCCACATGATCTTGGCAGAGGCTCAAGAGCTTAGCGGGATTCCGGCGAGGAGCAGACATTTATTACCAGTATCATTTATTCCCCGTGTTGCCATAGCGCCCGGGAGACCCCAGCCACAGAGCGGGTCCCCCCTTGTGTCAGGCGCTATACAGCCACCGAGTATTTATACGGGCCCCGAACACATCCCGAGTTCTACCCATCGGAGCTGCGAGGCAGCTATAAGTGATGGGAGAGGGGACCACACTCCCCCCCCCAGGGCAGGTAACTAGTTGTGGGTGGGCTCCCCTGAAGGAGCGGCCCCTTGGCACTGTCAGAGACGGGATACCGGACTCGATGGGCCCCCGGGCCAGATAGACTTACTGGCGTTCCAGCACCGGGGTAGGGTTTATACCCGGGTTTGGGGGGGTCCTGTTCTGCGGGGTGCTGCACACACCACCACCAGAACTGGGAACCCCATCACACCGGGTGCTGCATGAGAACAGCACCCCCCCATCGTGCACAGACCCCTCGACCGAGAGCAGGCCCCCAACATGCAGAGACCCCCAGTGAGAGACGGGCCCTGCCTGAGGAGCTCCCGGACGATTCTCCCCATTGTACAGAGGGGGAAACTGAGGCACGGCGGGATGAAGCAACTTTCCCACGGTCACACGGGGAATCTGGGGCCCAGCCAGGAAGGGCAGAGCTGACCCCGCCTTGCCCAGGGATGGCTCGACGCCATCCCCAAAATACCAGGGTATCAGGGTCACACCCGGATCCAAGATCACGGGGCAACCCTATCATTAGTCATAATTATTATTAATTATTTATTAATTCATTAACCTAGGGGTCCATAGCCAGGGCCTGAGGCTACACAGTGCTGGGGGCTGAGACGCGGCTGCCTTTGGGGACTGGGTCCACAGGGACCCCTTGCCCAGCGCTGAGATGCGTCCACCTCTGTGGTGGGGCATCGGGGCTGTTTATACCCACTTTCACCCCGACCTTCCAGTAGGATTAGAATCCACAACTCCCCTCTGCTGCCAAAGAGCCTCCAGGAGAATCCCCGCCCACTCCTGACAGTGCGGGGCCAATGACACACAACAGGCAGTGCTGAGGGTGTCCAGCAGGGGGCATCCACGCCCCTCCGGCTGGTCCCCCCTTATGGCACTCCAGTGCATCACAGGGCAATAGGGCCAGGTCTAGCACAGTGTGTGGGGGTCGCCCCCTAGTGGTGAGTGAGGGTAGGGCTGTTCCCACACTGACAGCATCAGACGCAGCTGCTGGTGCTTTTGGCTCACAAGTTTTGGGGGGTGGTGGTCAGCTCCTGCTGCTGGTACATCTGGGATGTGTTCATTGGGGGGGGGGGGAACAAGCCGCCCCCTTTTCATCCCCCCGGCAGACCAGGGGTTTAAACTGTTTTAATATATGCATTAAAATGGATATAAAATAATAATAAAATTCCTTCTAAAGGGCTGCAGGGACTCAGGGTGGGCCAGAGAGTCACACAGCAGGTTGAGTGGCAGAGCTCCAGAGGGGACCCAGGAGTCGTGGATCCCACCTCTACCCTGCTCTAACCATTGGACCCTACTCCCCTCCTAGAGCTGGGGAGAGAACCCAGGAGTCCTGGCTCCCAGCCCCATGTACTATCCACAGGACCACTCTGCTCCTCTATTAATGAAACTTACGTGTGTCTGATCCTCCCTTCAAATCTCCAGCTCTTTGCCTCGATCCCATCCAGTAGCAGGGAGTTCCGCAGGTTAATTTCATGTTGCCATGAAAGGCGAATTAGCGGCGCTGGGCCCAGCCACCCACCTGCTCCGACAGTTACAGCTCAGCAGGGAAAAGGCCAGTCGGACGCCTGGGTTCTGTGCCGGGGCAGGGGGTTCGTAGATCCCCATCTGCAGCCTCCACGCTGCACGGGGAGGGAGGGGGGGAGGTGAATAAGCACATGTGGCAGTGACAAGGGTGCGTGGGTGTCATGCCACGGGGGCCGATGCTCCACGTCCTGGCACCTTCACTGGGCCGGGGCCCAGAGCTGGGGGAAGGGAGAGAGGAAAGGGTGGGTTCAGAACATGCCTGAGACATGCCAACATGCTTAGAACACGCCTAAAACATGCAAACATCTCCCCCTTCCTCCCCCCAACCATTCCAGACAGGCCATCGACCCAGCAACATCTTTGGCTGCGTCCCCACAGCCCCGGGGGCCAGGGCTTGGGCTCGGTCCAGCCGTCCTGGGCTCTGCACCATCAGACAATCAGCACAGCTGGGGGTGTGGGGGCAGGCAGGGCTGGGCTAGCAGGAGCTGTGGGTTGGGAGTGAGGGGCACCGGTGGGGCTGGGAGGGGGGCACAGGGCTAGCAGAGGGCTGGGGGTCGGGAGTAAGGGGCACCGGTGGGGCTGGGCGGGGGGCACAGGGCTAGCAGGGGCTGCGGGTAGGGAGTGAGGGGCACCAGTGGGGCTGGGCGGGGGGCACAGGGCTAGCAGGGGCTGCGGGTAGGGAGGTGAGGGGCGACCAGTGGGGCTGGGCGGGGGGCACAGGGCTAGCAGGGGGCTGCGGGTCGGGAGGGAGGGACCAGTGGGTCTGTGTTCTGTTTATCAGACTCACCTAGAAGAGGAGATAACTGATTAGCAGAGAAATCAGGAGGGTTGCTCCGAGTCCACCTGCAACACAAAGAAACCATGGGAGAGGAAAACGTTACTGCTCTAACCCTCTACACCCCTGTCCCCTCCCAGAGCTGTGGCAAGAACCCAGGAGTCCTGACTCCCAGCCCCCACTGACCTCCCAGAGCCACGGATTGAACCCAGGAGTCCTGGCTCCCAGCCTCCTCCTGCTCTAACCACTGGACCCCACTCCCCTCCCAGAGCCAGGAGAGAACCCAGGAGTCCTGGCTCCCAGTCCCCCGCACTCTAACCACCAGCCCCCACTGGCTCTGGGCTCCAAGCTGCACTGAGCCCCCTACCTGAGTTTCCAGGGGGGTGTCTCCAGGCACCGCTGGGGGCAGAGCGCTGCCCGTCACTCTGCTTCCTGACCAGGAGGCTCCCAGGACTGGCTTTAGGTACAAAGCAAAGGTGACAGGCTCAATTCTCTGGCAGTTGGGCGGGGGGCGCTCTCCCCCGGCAGTCAGGGCTGGCCCAATGCCCCAGGCGCTAGGGGGCGCTGGACTACAGGGGGCGGAAACAACCAGGAACCACTGGGACAAATTCAAAGAGCGAACCCAGGGGTTCTCAACCTGGGGGTCGGGACCCCTCAGGGGGTCACGAGGTTATTACATGGCGGTGGCGAACTGTCAGCCTCCAACCAAACCCCACTTTGTCTCCAGTATTTGTAATGGTGTTAAATATACAAAAGAGAGGCTTGCTATGTGAGAGGGGGCTCCAGGACAAAAGTTTGAGAGCCCCTGCGCTAAACCAAGGGAGGCTCACCTGTGTAGTGCGTCCTTCTCTCCTTACCCTGGGAACAAGGAGAATATCATCAGGATAGATGCCCCCTGCTCTAACCACTAGTCCCCACTCCCTCCCAGAGCCAGGAGAGAACCCAGGAGTCCTGGCTCCCAGCCCCCCTGCTCTAACCCACTACAGCTTCCCCATTTTCTATCTGCTCCCCCCCATCCCCCCTCACCGTTGCGTCGAACACAAGCAGGGTGAGATTCATGCAGCTGCTCAGGGTGATTCCCCATTCGCCCACGTCCAGCACGGAGGGGTGATGCCCGCTGGGCGGGTAGGTGGCGATCGCCGTGTTCTGGGGGGGCAGAGATGGACCCAGTCAGTGGTCGGGGACCTGCCTCCCTCTACATGTCGTGGCCATGTGACCAGGGACAATGGGCTGCAATTCGTGACCTCTCCCTGGAGCCAACGGGGAATCGCTCTCCTCTGGTTGAGGTCTGGGGGGCTCTGACACATAGCCGGGCAGTTCTGGATTCATCCAGTAGGGGGCAGCAGGGGGACATACACACACACACACACACACACACACACACTGGGGCGGGGACTTTGGGGAAGGGGTTGGAATGGGGGCAGGAAAGGGGCGGGGCCTCATGGAAGGGGTGGCGTGGAGGCGGGGCCAAGGGGAGAGGCAGGGTCGAGCACCCATGTGAAAGAGGGGAAGTCGGTGCCTATGCACACACACACTCTTTTGTACCGTGTTAGATGCTGCTGCCCCGCGCTCCACCCCAGAGGCAGCTGCATCTCAGTGCTGGGCGAAGGGTTCCCGTATAACCCACCCCTGCCACACCCCAGAGAGGCCGCGTCTCATCAGCTCTGTGTTCTGGAAAAGCTCACCCCGTGCATCCATTGCATTTTCTTTTCTCCTTCCCCGGCGTCCAGCGGGAGGTCGATCCGGTGCAAGGAGGTGCTGGCCTCGCATGGGTAGCTGAGCGTCTCCTCCTGCACCACGGCCACTGCAAGGGGGAACAAGCCCACGGGTCGCGGGGGGGACCTCAAAAGCGCTCGTGCAGCAGGGAATGGGTTAAGCAAGGCAGGCCAGGGCCCCCCCCAGGGACGAGCAGCCAATGGGCCTCTCTCCTGATGACACCCCCCCAGCTCAGCTGGCATCTCATTGGCTGCATGCACGGTCACAGGGCAAGCGACGGGAGGGGGTGGGAGTGAGTGTGCACCAGGCCCGTGCAAAACCTTGTGCACAAGAGAGAATGTGTGCAAAGGCTGAGGGAGAGGCTGCACAGAGTGTCCCTCCCAGCTCTGCCAGTGCCCCTCACTCCCGACTCGCAGGCCCCTGCTAGCCCAGCCCTGGGCTCCCCCAGCTCTGCCGGTGCCCCTCACTCCCGACCCGCAGCCCCCTGCTAGTCCAGCCCTGGGCTCCCCCAGCTCTGCCGATGCCCCTCACTCCCGACCCGCAGCCACCCACTAGCCCAGGCCTGGGCTCCCCGGCGGAGTGTGCGGAGGTGCGTGTGGACGCATGCGGGTATCGAGCTCTGCAGGCCCTGGCCCGACATCCGGGTGCCGAGGCCGGGGAAGGGGGAGAAGCAGCCGGGTGGCTGCAGGCTGGCTGGGTGCAGGGTGGGACTCAGCCCGGCTAAGCCGAGGCCCTCATGTGTGTTTCCGTTGCACAGACACGCCTGGGCCCCAGGGCTTCGCTCCGGGGCTCTGCTCCGAGCCGCACTTTCAAACCGCCCGCAGGATTTGCATGAGGTGATGCAGAATGAATCACTTTCCTCTGCCAGGCCAGCCTTGGGCCCCCCAGAACGGGGCCAGGGAGGGAGAGCTCCTCGAAACACCCCCCCGAGCCAGCCAGTCTCCCCCACCAGGGCCGGATGGGAGTCGGTGCTCCATTCCCTGCCCCCCTGAGCCAGCCAGTCCCTGCCCTGGGGCTGGGTGGGAGCTGGCGCCCCCTAGAGAGGAAAGGCCCCACACCCCATTCCCCACCCCCCTCGAGCCAGCCAGTCCCCGCCCAGGGCCGGATGGGAGCCAGCACCCCCTAGAGGGGAAAGGCCCTGGGCCCCATTCCCCGCTCCCCTGAGACAACCAGTCCCTGCCCTGGGGCCGGGTGGGAGCCAGAAAGGCCCCGGGTCCCATTCGCCAGAGGCTCCTTCAGCCCCCAGGATGGGGGTCGGCAATAAATCCTCCCACACACCTGGGGTTGTGCGGGGGAAGGAGCTGTCTGCAGAGGGGCAGGTTGCGAGTCCCGCAGCAGGAAGGGTGGAGCTGCACCCATGTCTGGGGTGGAGCGCCGAGCTGGCTGCAAGGGGCTGAGGCCGAGTGGTGCACAGCCGGGTGCCAGCAACAGGCAAGGCCCTGGGACATGTTCGGGCTTGAACTGATCATGACCCTGACGTCGCCCCACCCACCCTGCAACAGAGCTGGGGTGAGAACCCTGGAGTCCTGGCTCCAGCCCTCCATTCTCTTCTACCCACTAGACCCCACTCCCACCCCAGAGCCGGGGATAGGACCCAGGCATCCTGGACCCCACCCCACCCCCCCAATCTAACCACTAGACCCCACTCCCACCCCAGAGCCGGGGGATAGGACCCAGGCATCCTGGACCCCACCCACCCCCCAATCTAACCACTAGACCCCACTCCCTCCCCAGAGCCGGGGATAGGACCCAGGCATCCTGGACCCCACCCGCACCCCCCAATCTAACCACTAGACCCCACTCCCGCCCCAGAGCCGGGGATAGAACCCAGGCGTCCTGGCTCCCTGGGACTTCACCCAGCCCCCTCTTTGAGGGGACCCCACATCCATTGGGGGCTGCACCCCCCACCCCACAGGTCCGGCAGGGCTGGTGCTTACCCCCGGTCCCGCCTGAGCAACCTAGAGCCACCAGCCACAACAGCATCATGTGCCCCATGGTCCCCACTGCGGCGGGGCCTGGGGGCGGATTTTGGGGGAGCTCAGGGGGTTTCCTGCTCTGCTGGCAGGAGCTGGGAATGAATGCGAGGCGCGACCTCTCGCAGCTGGGCACAGACTAGACTCACTTCCCGTCCCGTGATGACTTACAGTACATACATAGGCTGGAAATTGCATCACTTTCCCCTGGCGGGGGGAGGGGGGGCCAGTCCAGCCCTGCCTAGAGGAGTGGGCGGGGCCGGCTCGGCTCCTGGCACTTACAAAACAAAAATCACAGTCCAGGAAATCCCCCTTTGGGAAAAGGGGAAACTGAGGCACAGGGGAGAGCTATTTATTCACTTCCAGAGCTGGGAATAGAACCCAGGAGTCCTGGCTCCCAGCCCCCTGCTCTCACCACTAGACACCACT